TTTCTTCTTCTTTATATATATATATATATATAAGGGAGCACTGATGAGCCAGCAGCCCGGATTTTATTTAAAGTCAACTTGATCAATACAATTTATAAAGGAAGTGAGACTGATGCTAGAATGAAGTTGTAAATGATGAGTAGTGTTTAGTGAGAATTAAAACTCCTTAATCAAAACTGTAGCTGTTTTCATGGTGTAAGCGGAATACCATTTGTTCAAGAGAAGCGAGCATCGCTTGGCAAGTGAAATGTGTATCGTAAAATGCCTTTTGCCAATGCGATTGCCATATGACTTGAAGAGTGCAGCCGAGCAGCGATAAAAGCGAAATGCTCGAGACAATTGGGCTGAGAGTATCGGGAGTGGTGCTTATATGAGATACTACAATGGTTAGCATTGACTGTTCAATTTGAGTAGGCGAACAGGATAACCCAGGAAAGAACTTATGGAGAGCCATTGTCCACACCGCGGCTTTGCGAGAACAACTGAAGAAAAAATGAGACGTAGTTTCATCAGCGAAACCATAGAATGAATACAACGTGGAAGGGCATTGATTCGAAATAAAGGCATGTAGGGATTGCTTATAAGAGATTGTTCGATGAGCAAACAATGCCGCGTATTTCACGCTGTTGGAGGGAGTGGTAGTCGCCAAAAAGATGTCCATGAGGCAGAAGACACGTCAGGTTTGTATTGTTTCCGTTCCAAGCCTCGTTATGGCAGTAAATAATTACGGTATGACTGACAACGGACAAGAGGACCAAAGTCATTCACTTCAGAAACACTAGGCCGATAAAGAGGTGTTAAATCTATAGTGGCTGCATTCAGATCAGGTGTAGAAATGTTCTTGGGGATACATAGAAGCAGAAAAACAGGAGACAGTAGAGCTTGCCCTTGGAGCAGTAAAGCAATAGTCTTACGACAAAGCCGTTGAAACCGAGGATACTCGTTAGCTTTTTGCAGACGAAGTTTAGCGATCTGAGGATCATGAACGATAACGTCACTGATCAGAAGCTTGCGTAACCCTGGATTAGCAGGAGACAGCGTTTGCAGAATACTGGGAGGGCTTTCAGTGGGACTTATTAAGGCACAGTGAACCGACATAGCCAAGAAGGTCTTGGCATTCAGGTGCTCCGAAACAGACAATGGCAATAGTTCATCGAAAGCTTGAAAAATCAGTTTGAATGGGTTACTCACGAGTTGGAGAACGCGAGACCTAAGAGAAGAGAACAGCACCGGCCAGAGATGGCTTTTAGGATAGCCACTGATGCCGGTAATAATACGCTCAAGTTAAGGGAAGCAACGTAGAGACTGCGTGGTATGAGATTTGCTGGTAAGAAGCGGAAGCAACCAACCCCACTGTAACGCCGTTTGTTGGACGTGAGGACCCAAGGCCTCTACACCACTATGTTTCCTTAGGAGAGACAGAGTCGCGAAGCTGATCCTTGGAAATCGATAACCATTGAGAAAGGCATTGGCAACTCCTCGGAACCGTTGAAGCTGTGCAGAAGTCAATGGCAAGATACGCAAGGAATGCCATAGTCTGGAAAAAAGCAGCGTGTTCAGACCTGTCACGTGGCTGCGGATCGACAATGATCGCTGAGTGCAAGGTGTAGGCTGTTTGAGCTTTAAGCAATAGCTGATCGACGAATGAATTACGCTGAACTACACTGGTGTAAACGATATAACCTTAGTAAACCAATAGTTGTGGCGACGTTCTGTCGTACCGTGATGTAATTGGTGTAGGAAGTTGCTGTAGACAGTTAGTCCACGTTGTCGAGAGAATACCAGAGAGAGAGAGAGAGAGAGAGAGAACGCTTGAGTCTCCGAATAGTTCAACTTGGCGTTGGAAGAGCGCTCATAAAGCGTGATAGTCTGCAGGAGAGCGGGCATATCATTTGTCGAATTGAGCAAGATCAAAGTGTCATCAGCATAAGCTAGCGCTTTGATCGGTTCAAGTAAGTCCCTGGTAGAAGTGTCCAATAGCCCCCATGAGAAAAATTGATAGCCTTGAATAGTTATATTCGTTGAAAAAGCACGGAGAAAAGGATCGAAAGCAATGTTAAATAAAAGTGGGGAAATAGAATCACCCTGGCGAATTCCACGCTTCTGTATAGATTGCTGCAAAATGTGTCCATTGATATTGATTCTGATTGCTGTGGAAAAGAAGAGGGACGGCAGGCTGGTAATAATTGGGCCTGGGGTTTCAAAGGCTGATATAGCTTGTTGAAGATAATCGGTGTGAATGCGATCATATGCTTTATACTGGTTCAAAAGTAAGCCAACAGCTGTAGAAGACGAGGATTCGGCATCAGCCATGACAGTGTGTAGCAGTTTACCGTTTTCACCAATGAAGCGGCCAGGCATGAAACCGAGTTGATAGGGAGATATTAAACGGTTAATATGTGACATCAGGCGTTCATTTAGAAGATGTGTGAATACCTTGGCATCAGCATTAATCAGAGCAATGGATCTCCAATTCTTGAGATCGGTATAGTCTCCTTTCTTTGATAGCAAGGTCATGCATGTTTCTTGCCAACTCGAGAGAGGGCATCATTATATGCGCGAACTGCAATAGTATTGGCGGTAGCATGGTGAAATATCAGGACCAACGCCTGATACGGGATACCGTCAAGGCCAGGGCTACTGTAGGTTGGACATCGCTTAGCAGCTTCTTGCAGATTAGGTACCGTAAAAGGACGCAACAGACGTGTGCTCTGTGTTTGTGATATTCACAGATCAGACAGAACAGTATTCGAGTTGGCTCATAACGGAAGGGCATGTTGATTGTGGGGCGTACAACCGCTCATAGAAGGCAATACTAACGGCTTGAAGTTGACTTGGGGTGGTGCAGACCTCATTCGTCTCAGAATGCCGTAGTTCTGCGATATACGTTTGTGATAGGCGAGTTGAAGCTGTTCTTTTCAGAAACCCTGCCGAAGGTTCGCCTTTTTCTCATCAGTGTTTACCTGTCTTGAGGGCGGCATTATCCACAGCCTCCTGCTGCAAAGACACAATTTGTTTTTCAATAACGCCTAGGCTATCGTGTAGCACGGTAGGCTGTGCCTTGTACTTAGACAATAATCTCTTACGTTCATTCTGTAACCACTACAATTGCTGTTGGCGCCATTGACTCTGCTCCCGGCTACATCTGAATGCAACTTGTCGCACTTTGGATTTAATGGCTCCCCAAATTAACTGAGAGAAAGAAGCATTCTGGTGTATAGTGCTAGTAGCTTGTCCAAAGCTTTGTTCAAGGATGAGGCAGAGAAAGGGCTTTGTGCCAGGTGAGGATTTATACGCTGGACACCTTTGCCATGGGTGCGAGAAGTGAATTTAAACTTAGTAGCCAACAGTAAGTGATTCGTCCACTCTTGAGACACAAAATCCACTGTAGAGTTGATGAGAGAAACGTGCAGATCAGGTGTAGCGTAGATATAATCAATGATGGACGAAGAAGTTGTGCTCTGAAAGGTAGGATTTCTAGTATCGGCTGTCATGCAGTTAAAGAAATATTGCTGAGCATGACTATGCCAATCCTGCAGGCGACGATCTATGCCTCGGGACAGGTCATAGTTAAAATCCCCGGTCAGAAGGATTCGAGGAAGGTGTCGCGGAGGAGACGACAGAGTTGACTAATCTGTTGAAAAGGACGAGAAAGGAGATAGAGAAAGTAAGCTTTCAAAGAATATGCGATTCTGTGCATGCTGAGGAGGTGCATATGGGTTAACTAAGGTAAAAGGTTCGAACATGCGACGGGTGTGAGAGATCTCGCAAATGATCAACCGCTGATCGACTGTGACTGGTATGGGTGCAACAGTAATGGAGAGATTGAGACACATTTCGCCACAGTGACTAGTCCAAAAGGCGCTTCTAGAGTTGAAGAGGATGTTAAGAGTTGACTGGGTACTTTCATCCTCAGCGCTGGTATCCTGTAAATCCAAAAACTGCAAGTCGTTCTGCTTGTTCAAGTGTGTTGGCAAAGATATCTTGGTCTGTGGGTGAGCTGAATGTTGTTCTGGTGCTGAGATATTGAAGTTGCTCGTACATTTCTGCACTTTCTTGGGCTTGCAATCTCGTCGTTTCTGTCGTATTTGACCATGTCTAGTACTAATCTTTACGTGTAAGATTACATTTGACTTAGTTGCATGTACCTTAATTAGTACTCCGTTTTAAAAACAATCTGGTTTGGAAATGCAAAAAATTAGAAAAACGTAGTACGAGTAAATTTTGGCGCTTCCAAATGACAGTAGCAAAAGACTACTTAATGAAAATATGAGCTTTTCCATCCCTTTTCTCTCCATCAGTTTTACTGCTGTTAACTGATAAAAAAAAAATGTTCATTAATTTATCAAACTTTAAGTATGTATTATCCTATAGTTATCAAAGACAATTTACTAATAGAAATAAAAAGCTGTCTATAAAAAGCACAAAAGTCTCTGTTTCTAGTTGTTTAAATTTCAAATCTAATTTCTTTTTGCTATAGGCTCTTCTTCTCACTTCTAATAAAAGGATAAAACAAAGACGCATCATTTATTTTATTTTATTCTATAAATTTACACATGTACTAACAACGGCCACAATTACAACCAATATCTCAGTTTTTGTAAGTTTATGTATGGTAGAGACGAGCTGATATGCGTCCACTTTCCAGTTTTTGAAGTCTGATACAAATCTTTATTGATTTGTTCAGACTTACTCTATTCTCTATTATTGTGCTTATGAATGGACCGTTTGTAGCTCTTAAAGTTACCCTTAAGTTGAGTTGAAGGTATTTTGTCCAAAGTTTGGAGAGTAGCCAAAAGGAACTCAGATCCTTGGTATCTCTTCTCTTGCTCTTGAACCATTGCTCGTTCAAATTCTCTATCGTTGTTTTAATTTGTCATTTAGGATCCTTAAATCAATTTTGAAAGTATCCTGCATAATCAAGTGGACATCACTCCTAAAAAAGTATTGAGTTTGCTGTTTAAATTAATATATAGAACGGGATCTTACCATTTAAGCCGTAGGCGTGAGCTATACACTCTTTCCGGAAAGTAAATTCGCCTGTGACCGAAAATAAAT